ATCACCCTCTTAGCCTGGAGCACGACAGCTTTCATTGCTGGCATCAGTTAGAAGTGTCAAGGATGGCCACTGGGCTCTTCCCAGGACCTCTGGTCTTCTTCTTCTCTCCTCCATTCTGCTGTGGACCGCTGCTCCCCCGCTATTGCCCGAAAGTGGGACTGAAGCTGTGACTAACCATCACAGGTAATTTGGGCCACCTTTGTCTTTCTGAGCAAACACTACCATTCTGGAACTGTGAGGACTGTGAAGTGCTCAGGGCATCCAGCCAGCTGCTTGGGAATCGAGTGCGCCCTGGCACGAAACTTGACAGTGGTGATCTGGAGCCACACTCTGCTCTTTGGGTTTTCTCCTTTTTGAAGAACTGCATGTTTTAACTGTATTGCACGTACTTAACAAGTACAGATGGGTTTTTTAAATCACATAAATTATCTTGTGGAGCTGATCGCTCAGGACGTCGATGTTCAGTGTCTCTAGCTGTCGTCCAACTACTGACGGTTTCTGGACAGAGATGGACCGTCCCTGGCGTGCTGCTCTGTGGCAATGGACTGCTATGTGACAAAGACTTCCTTTGGTGGTGGTTGGATTACTTGTGCCACATCTCCTTGGTTACAGGCATATGCTCCCCAGCCTGAGGTCAGAAGATGGGTTCTTGGGAAGACTTTGGGGCGAGGAGTTAGAAAGGGATAAAGGAAAGCAGTGAGAGCTCCTCACAGGAGGCTGACCGCACTGTGATGAGCCGTTTGGACCGGTGGCCGTCTCCATCCCTGAGACCCCGGGATCTCACACGGTCCTCACATGTCCCACTTGTAATCCCTTGTGAAACCTTCTCACCTACATTGTTTCCAGGACAAGGAACCATGGCCAGAGACAGACTCTGGGGTAACTGCATATGCTTGCATTCTGTTTCTTCTATTTTTCTTAAATGTCAAGTTTGATCGATACATCTACAAATCTATCGATTTAGTATCTATTGAAACCAGTTGACTGAAGTTAGCCTGCACCCCTCATTCCCTCTATAATGTGCTTCTCCATAAATCTGGTCCCCATCTCGAGTATGTTTTCCTTGCAAATAAGCCTCAAAAGTATTGTGTTTAAGACCAGCCTTGGCAAACTTATGAATCAAAAGTCAAGCCCCTTTGTGGGCTCGTCCTGGTTAACTTACTGCATCAGAACAAACAACCTGAAAGAGAAGAACTGGCGCTGGCATCACAGGAACTAAGAGTGACAGTAGGAAGCAAATGATGAAGATGAAACATGCTCATAAGCCTTCCAGGGCCCAGCAGCCCCAGGGATCTAGTCCATGATTCACTCTCCCTTTCTTGTTGTTAGAAACATTTCTCATTGTTGAATGCCTCCGACTTGTCAGGGCTGAGCTCTTTCCTCTAAATAGCTGAGGGCTGCATCATCAGTTTTAACAGTGCCCAGGAAGTAAAAGTGCGATTGCCTGGCTGCATATTTTAAAACATGCTGGCATCTTTTGTCTCTAATCTTGTTGATAGGAGGAAGAAAAACCTTGAGGGATATATTCCCATGTGTAAACTGAGTAGAGAGAGCGTAGTTCACGGAAGCTCTTGTCATGCCAAGCTCAGGTTCCTGTGTCAATGCCGTGAGGTTAATCTGCTCTGCAATAAACCCTCCCCGCATCATCACCACCACAGGTACCATCCAGTCTCTGCCGCTGTTCGCTGTGCATCTGTATGAAACTGCTTTCTAGATATGATCCCAGGAAGAACCATGAGAATCCCCAAGCCCTCTGTGCTGGTGGAAAACAAATGAAATGGCCAGTATATGCCCCAGGTTATGAGGAAGAAATTCTCTGGAGGGAGAGAGGCTGGAGTTGGCTTGAAGCAGTTGACCAAGAACTTGGAGAACTTTGTTACTTCCGGAGTCAGGAGACAGAGCTGGATGTGACAAAATGCAAGATGTCCAAGAGACCCAGATTGCCACTGAGCCAGAGACCAGAAGTCCAGGGAGATGACCGCCGGGGGAGCTAGACGGGATGAAGACTTAAGGAGCCACGTGGTGCCTGGGCTCAGACACTTAAACTGGGTATGGTCTCTAGTAAGACACAGTTTGGGTAAGACTGAACAGTGAACATTTTGTACGACTCAAACTAGTGCCCTTCTTAGAGTCTGTGCCCTTGTGAAATCCTGAATGTATAGTAAAATAGCCCGTTTTACCCTATTTAAGACCAGTCTAAAAGGTTTCTGTTAAGATGTATTTCTGGAGAAGAAGAATGAGGAAGAAATAAAAAAGACCTTAAAAACATCTTTTTATTTCTAATTTCACTCATTGTAAAAAATTTGGAAAATATAAAGAAGAAACATGAAGCAAGAATATCTCCATCACTCGATGACAATGAATTTCATATTTTTCAGTCTTTGTCCATACAATTTTTTTAATTGAATTACTGTCAGTTACAATGTGTCAACTTCCGGTGTACGGCATGTCTGTACAATTTTAATGTGGTTGTTGTCACCGTGTCACAGGGACACCCTTAGCAGCAGGGGAAGCTGAGGAGATGAATGAGCACTTTGCCATTCTGAATAGAATAAAATGGAAGAAGAAG